GCGATATTTGGATGCACTTTGAAATAACAGGCCCATCACGAGCAAAATGTCAACTCTGTTCGTGTTATTGTATTTCTTGTATTGTGACAGCCCCTCGCTTGGAATGTTGTTGCTGCTTTGTTCACAATTTTACTGTTGAATTGTTAAATTTAAAGAGTTTATATTTTGTCAAATTAGTTTACATATTTGTTATTGTTACCATTTATCAAATTTTAATAAATGTTTTGATTGTAAATTGCCATTTTGTGTTCATGTATGTTTTTTCTGAACAACTGAATCACTGAATCAAATGACTCAAAACACCCGATTCACTTTGGTGAGTGATTCACTTTAACTCGAGTCAGTAAAATGAATCGAACTTTACATCACTAATTAACAAGATTCTGCACCACATTTTTACATACAGCCTGTTTAAGTGAGCAATGTTGCTTGTCGCAATATTGCGACTTTGGCGCTTAAAGGTTAATCCATTTCTGGGTCAGGGGGTGGCAGTCCAATGATGTCACCCAAGTCCCAGAGACACCAGCCCCTCACTGATCCTCTGCAGTGTGGTGAGTCCCACAGGAGGATGATTTTTAGTCCCAATCTTATGCTTTTTATCATCACCAAGTTGGGTGTTGTTGTTGGTGATTTTTGAGACTACTGGTACAGTGCCATCCGGAAAGTATTCACAGTGGCTTCAATTTGTTACACATTTTGTTATGTTACAGCCTATATTCCAAAATGGATTTTTGTTTTGTTTCTATGTGGTTTTACTGGCAAATGCAAATAAAATGAAATCTGAATCTGGATTCAATTCATCTTTTTTTCCCCCTTAAAATTCGACATATAAAACCCCAAAATGACAATGGTGAAAAAAAAATGTTTGGGAGATTTTTGCAAATGCATTACAAATTAAAAACTAAGATATCACATGTACATAAGTATTCACAGCCTTTGCCATGAAGCTCAACACTGAGCTCAGGTGGATCCTGTTTCCACGGATCATCCTGAGATGCTTCTAGTGCTTCATTGGAGTCTGTGGTACATTTAGTTGATTGGACTTGGTTTGGAAAGGCACCTGTATACAGTGCCTTGCGAAAGTATTCGGCCCCCTTGAACCTTTCAACATTTCGCCACATTTCAGGCTTCAAACAAAGATATAACATTTTTTAATTTGTCAAGAATCAACAACAAGTGGGACACAATCGTGAAGTGGAACGAATATATTGGATAATTTAAAACCTTTTTTAACAAAAAAAAAACTGAAAAGTGGGGCGTGCAATATTATTTCGGCCCCCTTGCGCTAATACTTTGTAGCGCCAACCTTTTGCTCTGCAATTACAGCTGCAAGATCGCTTGGGGTATGTCTCTATCAGTTTTGCACGTAGAGAGACTGGAATTCTTGCCCATTCTTCCTTGCAAAACAGCTGGAGCTCAGTGAGGTTGGATGGAGAGCGTTTGTGAACAGCAGTTTCAGCTCTTTCCACAGATTCTCGATTGGATTCAGGTCTGGACTTTGACTTGGCCATTCTAACACCTGATACGTCTATTTGTGAACCATTCCATTGTAGATTTGGCTTTATGTTTTGGATCATTGTCCTGTTGGAAGATTAAATCTCCGTCCCAGTCTCAGGTCTTTTGCTAGACTCCAACAGGTTTTCTTCCAGAATGGTCCTGTATTTGGCTCCATCCATCTTCCCATCAATTTTAGCCATCTTCCCTGTCCCTGCTGAAGAAAAGCAGGCCCAAAGCATGATGCTGCCACCACCATGTTTGACAGTGGGGATGGTGTGTTCAGGGTGAGGAGCTGTGTTGCTTTTACGCCAAACATATCGTTTTGCATTGTGGCCAAAAAGTTCGATTTTGGTTTCATCTGACCAGAGCACCTTCTTCCACATGTTTGTGTCTCCCAGGTGGCTTGTGGCAAACTTTAAACCAGACTTTTTATGGATATCTTTGAGAAATGGCTTTCTTCTTGCCACTCTTCCATAAAGGCCAGATTTGTGCAGTGCACGACTGATTGTTGTCCTATGGACAGACTCTCCCACCTCAGCTGTAGTTATCTGCAGTTCCTCCAGAGTGATCATGGGCCTCTTGGCTGCATCTCTGATCAGTCTTCTCCTTGTTTGAGATGAAAGTTTGGAGGGACGGCCGGGTCTTGGTAGATTTGCAGTGGTCTGATACTCCTTCCATTTCAATATAATTGCTTGCACAGTGCTCCTTGAGATGTTTAAAGCTTGGGAAATCTTTTTGTATCCAAATCCGGCTTTAAACTTCTCCCCAACAGTATCTCGGACCTGCCTGGTGTGTTCCTTTGTCTTCATGGTTCTCCTCTGTGCTTTAAACAGAACCCTGAGACTATCAAAGAGCAGGTGCATTTATACGGAGACTTGATTACACACAGGAGCATTCTATTTATCATCATCAGTCATTTAGGACAACATTGGATCATTCAAAGATCCTCACTGAACTTCTGGACTGAGTTTGCTGCACTGAAAGTAAAGGGGCCCAATAATATTGCACGCCCCACTTTTCAGTTTTATTTGTTAAAGTTTAAATTATCCAATAAATTTCGTTCCACTTCACGATTGTGTCCCACTTGTTGTTGATTCATGACAAAAAAATAAAATTGTATATCTTTGTTTGAAGCCTGAAATGTGGCAAAAAGTTGAAAGGTTCAAGGGGGCCGAATACTTTCGCAAGGCACTGTATATAAGGTCCCACAGAAAGGCACACACCTGTATATATAAGGTCCCACAGAAAGGCACACACCTGTATATACTGTATAAGGTCCCACAGCACACACCTGTGTATATATAAGGTCCCACAGAAAGGCACACACCTGTGTATATATAAGGTCCCAATGAGCACAGTGGCCTCCATCATCAGTAAATGTAAGACGTTTGGAACCACCGGGACTCTTCCTAGAGCTGGCCGGCCAGTAAAAACATTCTCTGGTCTGATGAGATAAAGATTGAAGTCTTTGGTGTGAATGCCAGGCATCATGTTTGGAGGAAACCAGGCATTGCTCATCACCGAGCCAATACCATCCCTACAGTGAAGCATGGGGGTGGTAGCATCATGCTGTGGGGATGTTTTTCAGCGGCAGGAACTGGGAGACAAGTCAAGATAGAGGGAAAGATGAATGCAGCAATGTACAGAGACATCCTGGATGAAAAGCTGCTCCAGAGCGCTCTTGACCTCAGACTGGGGCGACAGTTCATCTTTCAGCAGGACAACGACCCTAAGAAGTGGCTTCAGGAAAACTCTGTGAATGTCCTTGAGTGGCCCAGAGCCCAGACTTGAATCCAACTGAACATCTCTGGAGAGATCTGAAAATGGCTGTGCACCGACACTCCCCGTCCAACTGGATGGAGCTTGAGAGGTGCTGCAAAGAGGAATGGGCCAAAACTGCCCAAAGACAGGTGTGCCAAGCTTGTGGCATCATATTCAAAAAGACTTGAGGATGTAATTGCTCCAAAGGTGCATCAACAAAGTATTAAGCAAAGGCTGTGAATACTTATGTACATGGGCTTTCTTAGTTTTTGTATTTTAAATACATTTGCAAGAATCTCAACCTTTTTTCATGTTGTCATTATGGGGTGTTGTGTGTAGAATTGTGAGGTTTAAAAAAAAAATAAGGCTGTAACATAAAAAAATGAATGAAAAAGTGAAGCGCTGTGAATACTTTCCGGTTGCACTGTATCTGCAAGAGGAATACGGAGATTATTGGTTTGTAAGTAAGTAAGTAAGTAATGTTTTTATATACCGCCTTTCACAGACCAGAGTCACAAAGTGGTTTACAATTGTTATTTTTGGGCATTAGTCTCTCACTCCACACAGAGATGGGGTCGCCAGTACAGGAGGCGCATGCCAGACCTATTGTACATATTTTACCCGGAGGAAACCTACGGAGACACGGGGAGAACATGCAAACTCCACTCAGAAAGGCCCTTGTCCGACCAGGATTCGAACCCAGGACCTTCTTGCTGAGAGGCGAGAGTGCTATCCACTCAGCCACCGTGCCGCAATTGGGATAATTGGTTGTCTTATTTCAGGCGATATGGCTGAAAATAGGGCGATATAACGATATGTCGCGATAGACTCGTGTTCGATATCAATGAAAAACGAGGTCGATAGAATGTTCAATAGTTCAACTTCACTCCGTTAGAAAAAACAGGAAGAAAATACAGGAAGTAAAGCTGAGTCAGAAGTGCGCGGCATTCTGGGGGATGTAGGCAGAGGCTTCTCGACCTATCATAGCCGGTCAGGAACCGCAATACATTCTGGGAAATGCAAATACAACAACCGCACCATGCGGTAGCGTCCATGGATCTATAGATTGTTTTTCAATGCCGTGTCAATAGTTGTGCAAGGAATAGCATGTGCGGCGCGGTAGAGGCAGTGGGTACAGAGACTCGAAGCATTTGGCGAAAGCAAGAGATGACACTGACAATCGTAGGATGTAACTGAAAGCAGACATAAACATACATTTGTGAACACTCAAAAACACATGTCTTGTAACATCATCCAATAACTATGGTCAGTGACTGTATACTTCACTATATTCTGTAACTGCATAATTGCCTAACAAAACTTCCACTGTTCTTGGAAAACATGTAAAAAGTTATGTTTTTCCTCTTAATGCCATTTTAACGATGTAAAATGACTTCGGCAATTATGCTATGTGCCTAACGACATGTTGATGGCACATGGACTCTCAGAATAAACCCATACGAATAGCTTTCTCCGCAATGTATTAGTTCACTTCTTAAAAAAACATTTGTAATCAGGGTGATGTGCATTTATTCATTAATACACTGTAACTTGTGTGACGGACCAAAAATAAATAAAACATGTTGTTGGTTGTCACTTACTGTGCGTACGGTCTGCCATGTCTCGATAGGTCGAGAAGGGTCTGTCTGCATCCCCCAGAATGTTGTCGCTTCTGACTCTGCTTTTCTTCCTGCTTTTTCTGAATGAAGTTAAACTGTCTATTCTATCTGTTTGTGTTTCAGATTCAGAGAGCACTAGGACCAGCCAGAGCACCAAGTTCCAGTGTCCTGCAGACTTTGTGTCCTTCTCCTATAAGCCCTGCAGCTCCACGCTGAAGGCTCACAGCAGCTCAGAGCTGTGGCTCATCAAAGCTCCGGCCAGCTTTGAGCCACAATGGTGAGTGTGTAGCGTCTCAGTCTGAAACAAGAACAATACAAATTAAAGCCGCAAGCGCTGTCTAACGGTCCTTGCCCCATCTCCCAATAGCGAACTATCTGAATGACGTCACTAAGACACGCCCCCGCCGCCTGTCAACTCCCGCCCACATGTTTCGGACAAACACTGCCCAAATAAATCAAATACCACTTGTCACTTTAGACAAAAATGAAATACCAGGGGCAAAATTCCACCATCAAACCATCAGGGACCATAGTGTAGACCAGTTATAACGTTGGCTTGAATGTCGTGGTCTGTAACTGGTAGAAAGTTTGAGTTGATAAAAAGTGAAGTGTATTGAGGAAGTTCATGAATGGCTGTCACTAAATTTTCTACATTTAAATGACAAAAAGACTGAGGTCTTGCTGCTCGGCCCAAAAGATGCCCCCTCCTCTTTTGTGGATTTGGGTCCTTTAGAAGAATACTTAAAACCAACTGTGACAAACCTCGGTGTGAAGCTGGACAGTGCTCTGAAGCTTGACGTTCAGATCAGATCTGTTGTAAAGTCCAGCTTTTATCAGCTCAGGCAACTGTCCAAAGCAAAACCATTTGTTCCTCAGAATTTATTTGAGATCTTAATTCATGCTTTTATCACAAATCGTTTAGACTATTGTAATGCACTTTATTTTGGACTCAATCAGTCGTCTCTCGCTCGACTTCAACTTGTACAAAATGCTGCTGCTCGCCTTTTAACTGGCACCAAAAGGCGAGAGCACATTACACCTGTTTTGAGGTCACTGCACTGGCTCCCTATTTCATATCGTGTTGAGTTTAAGATAATTTTATTTGTTTTTAAATGTCTTCATGGTCTTGCTCCTCAGTATCTGTCTGACCTGTTGCAGCCCTATACCCCTGCACGCTCCCTGAGGTCAGCAGATCTGTCTTTGCTGGTTGTTCCCAAAACAAAAAGAAAAACCAGAGGCGACCGTTCTTTCGCTGTTGCTGGTCCTAAACTGTGGAACGCACTGCCCCTGCACCTCAGACAGACAGAGTCTCTTGTTCCTTTTAAATCCTCTCTTAAAACACACCTTTTTTCCTTGGCTGAGAAGTTCGACTTTGGAATGTTTTGTACTTTTGTTTTTACTGTTTTATTAATGTAATCCTCATTGTTGTGTTCAGCACTTTGGTCGACGCTGTTGTCTTTAAAGTGCTTTATAAATAAAGTTGGATTGGATTGGAAAAGGTAATGGTGAGGATTATGCTAACATTATCCTGTCAGTTAAATTCAATGCTAGCGCCGTCTTTGTTTATTTTGCTGTGATTAACTTCATTTATCAAGTTGTTTTTGCACTGTCCACTTTGTAATTAGTTTGATCATTAGTTAGTTACAGTCAGCTGATATTATAATAGATCCATGGGTCACACGGGCTACACCACTGTCTCTGAGAGAAACTATCAGAGCAACACTCAGTAAACACTAATGACAATCGACACATGTAAATGTTAATGGGAGAATATATTATACACACAGTCGTAACACACGTGCACAGAGGTTTTCAGAACTATCTGTTCAGGTTTTCATGACAAAAATACTTTTTAATGCAACTATCCATCCATCCATCCATCCATCTTCTTCCGCTTTATACGTTGCCGGGTCGCGGGGGCAGCAGTCTAAGCAGAGACGCCCAGACTTCCCTATCCACACACACTTCCTCCAGCTCGTCCGGGGGGACCCCAAGGCGTTCCCAGGCCAGAGAGAGACATAGTCCCTCCAGCGTGTCCTAGGTCTTCCGCGGGGCCTCCTCCCGGTGGGACGTTCCCGGAGCACCTCCCCAGGGAGGCGTCCAGGAGGCATCCGGAACAGATGCCCGAGCCACCTCAACTGGTTCCTCTCGACGTGGAGAAGCAGCGGCTCTACTCCGAGCTCCTCCCGTGTGACCGAGCTCCTCACCCTATCTCTAAGGGAGCGCCCAGCCACTCTGCGGAGGAAGCTCATTTCGACCGCTTGTATCCGCGATCTCGTTCTTTCGGTAATTACCCAAAGCTCATGACCATAGGTGAGGGAGGGAACGAAGATTGACCGGTAAATCGAGAGCTTTGCTTTTCGGCTCAGCTCCCTCTTTACCACAACGGTCCAATATAGCTCTGACTGCAGACGCTGCTCCCTCTTTACCACTACGGTCCGATACAGAGACCGCATCACTGCGCACGCTGCACCGATCCACCTGTCAATCTCACGCTCCATCCTTCCCTCACTCGTGAACAAGACCCCGAGATACTTGAACTCCTCCACCCGAGGAAGGACCTCTCCACCCACCTGTAGAGGGCAAGGCACCTTTTTCCGGTCGAGCACCATGGCCTCAGATTTGGAGGTGCTGATTCTCAACCCAGCCGCTTCACACTCGGCTGCAAACCGCCCCAGTGCATGTTGCAGGTCCTGGTTCGTTGGAGCCAACAGGACAACATCGTCCGCAAACAGCAGAGATGAAATCCTGTGGTCCCCGAACTGGACCCCCTCCGGCCCCTGGCTGCGCCTAGAAATTCTGTCCATAAATACAGTGAACAGAACCGGTGACAAAGGGCAGCCCTGTCGGAGGCCAACATTCACCGGGAACAGGTCTGACTTACTGCTGATGCGAACACAGCTCTGACTCCGGTCATACAGGGATCGGACGGCCCTCAGCAGAGGACCCCGGACCCCGTACTCCCGGAGAACCCCCCAAAGGACACCCCGGGGGACACAGTCGAACGCCTTCTCCAAATCCACAAAGCACATGTGGACAGGTTGGGTGAACTCCCATGAACCCTCGAGTATTCGATGGAGAGTATAGAGCTGGTCCAGTGTTCCGCGACCGGGACAAAAACCACACTGCTCCTCCTGGATCCGAGATTCGACCATCGGCCGTAGCCTCCTCTCCAGTACCTTGGAGTAGACCTTACCGGGGAGGCTGAGGAGTGTGATCCCACGATAATTGGAACACACCCTCCGGTCCCCCTTCTTGTAGAGAGGGACCACCACCCCGGTCTGCCACTCCATTGGCACTGCCCCCGATCGCCACGCGATGTTGCAGAGACGTGTCAGCCAAGACAGTCCTACAACATCCAGAGACTTTAGATAATCAGGGCGGATCTCATCCACACCCGGAGCCTTGCCACCATGGAGGCTGCCAACCACCTTGGTGACCTCAGCCAGGGAGATGGATGTATCTGCCCCAACATCCTCAGCCTCTGCCTCTGTAACAGAGGACGTGACGGGGGATTGAGGAGAACCTCAAAGTATTCCTTCCACCGTCCGACAATATCCCCAGTCGAGGTCAGCAGCTCTCCACCCGCACCGTACATGGTGTTGGCAAAGAACTGCTTCCCCCTCCTGAGGCGCCGGATGGTTTGCCAGAATCTCTTCGAGGCCGACCGATAGTCATGCTCCATGGACTCTCCGAACTCCTCCCAGTCCCGGGTTTTTGCCTCTGCAACAGCCCGGGCCGCGGCACGCTTGGCCTGCCGGTACTGGACAGCTGCCTCAGGAGTCCCCCGAACCATCATGGCTCGATAGGACTCCTTCTTCAGCCTGACAGCATCCCTTACTGCCGGTGTCCACCACCGGGTTCGGGGGTTGCCGCCGGGTTGCACCAGAGACCTTGCGACCACAGCTACGAGCCGCCGCATCGGCGATTTGAGGCAGAGAACATGGTTCACTCGGACTCCATGTCCCCCTCCTCCGCCGGGACCTGGGAGAAACTCTCCCGGAGGTGTGAGTTGAAAGTCCGTCTGACAGGGGGCTCAGCGAGACGTTCCCAGCAGACCCTCACTATACGCTTGGGTCTGCCAGGTCTGACCGGCTTCTTCCCCTGCCAGCGGATCCAACTCTCGACCAGGTGATGATCTGTTGACAGCTCCGCCCCTCTCTTTACCCGAGTGTCCGAGACACGCGGTCGAAGGTCAGATGATACGACAACAAAGTCGATCATCAACCTCCGGCCTAGGGTGTCCTGGTGCCACGTGCACTGGTGGACACCCTTGTGCTCGAACATGGTGTTCGTGATGGACAGGCCGTGACTGGCACAGAAGTCCAACAACTGAAAACAGCTCGGGTTCAGATCAGGGGGGCCGTTCTTCCCGATCACCCCTCTCCAAGTGTCTCTGGCGTTTCCCACATGGGCGTTGAAGTCCCCCAGGAGAATAACGGAGTCCCCGGTTGGTGCACTGTCCAGTACCCCTCCCAAGGACTCCAAGAAGGCCGGGTACTCTGCACTGCTGTTAGGCCCGTAGGCCGTCACAACAGTGAGAGACTTGTCCCCCACCCGGAGGCGGAGGGACGCGACCCTCTCATTCACCGGGGAGAACTCCAACACGTGGCGGCTGAGATGGGGGGCAATGAGAATGGCCACCCCAGCTCGCCGCCTCTCCCCGCGGGAAACTTCAGAAAAGTGGAGCGTCCAACCCCTCTCAAGGAGTTGGGTTCCAGAGCCCAAGCTGTGTGTGGAGGTGAGGCCGACTATCTCTAGTCGGTATCGCTCAACCTCCCCCACAAGCTCGGGCTCTTTCCCCCCCAGTGAGGTGATGTTCCACATCCCAAGAGCCAGATGTTGTGTGTGCGGACTGGGTCGCCGAGGTCTCCGCCTTCGACTGCAGCCCAGTCCTCTCAGCACCGCGCCACCACGGACCCCTCTGCAGGTGGTGGGCCCACAAGAGGGACTGCCCACGTCATCCCTTCGGGCTGAGCCCGGCCGGGCCCCGTGGGCTAAGGCCCGGCCACATACGCATACGAGCCCCGAGCCCAGGCCTGGCTCCAGGGTGGGGCCCCGGCTGCGCCATGCCGGGCGACGTCAACTAATGCAATGCTAACTACAACTAATGCAACTAAAGCAATCGATTTTTTTAAAGTAGGTTAACCAGCCTCACTGTTACTCGCCTGCCACGGGAAAACCTTTGAACTATTTTCTTTGCACTCATTAAATAAACCTTTGGGCATTAATAAAAGTGACTGAAGTTTATTTTGTGTGTTCAGTTGGTACAAAGCC